TATTCCGTACAAGGAAGTCATGTGGTGTACACATCAGATTTTTTTATTAAAGATTAAAGAAAATGTCGTCTCAAATTTTTGGGCGTATCATAATTGACAAAAAATATTGTAAGTAAGCAGCATATGTCACTAACTACGGAAAATCAACATGTTTCTATCAAAATATACGCCATTTGTTACATTTTGAGAGAAAAATGGTGTGCCCTATAGAGAGGGACATATGCTGTTTTGATATGATAATTATTTTCACCAGACGCTAACCTGCCAGTGATTAAATTAAATCTCACTAGCTGGGAAGTTAGTATGAGCAACGACTGATTAATCTTGCTAATGTCTACAATTTTAACTTTCCAACTCGTGCGAAATAGTAGACCTTTAGCAAGTCAGCTGGACAGCTTACCTACGCCGTGTCCTCCATCACCACAAGTTTGATTTGTGCTGTTGTTACCAATCTACTTGTTTGACAGCGGTTAGACACAATGGCTTACGATATTCATCGTGGCAAGCAGTCATATGGACTTGTCGCTGGCAAGAGCCTTGAGCACCAAACAGATGACAGCATGACTTTAGCTCAGTTTCGCCCCCCCCCAATCTTGAGAGAGAGAACCCCGGGGGGGGACTGGTCCAAGAGTCTCCCACTCCTCTTCCCCTAACATCAACGTCTGGAGAGGACTTTCGACTCGCCGTATCGTGCCGCCATGCCGCGCAGACACTATACATTTACAAACATCCATGCCTTCTCCGGGATTCGAACTCGAGCCCTTCAGTACGGAATCAGAGTCAGTTTGATTTGTATTCGCCTGGAATGAGTGATTTTATTCCGAAAATGATAAATAGAAGCATAGTGTAACTTTAAAAAAAATATGTAGTTTATTTCTTGTGAGGTTTGGATTACAAGTCGCGCCTAATGTTGGCACATGAAATTACAATGTGATAAAAATCTATTCTTGTTGCTGCATATTATTTTAAAAAGAAGGTTGTTTTATAATTTGATCTGTATTTAGGTTATAATATTTAAGTGAATCGCTTCAATGACAGTTTTTCAAATCAATTGAAAACTGGCTAAAGACGCGAAGATTTTATTAACGGAAAATAAGCAAATTCAAATAACATTTAAGCTACTTAAATCCTTATTTTTACTCATTTTAGTTTCTCCTAGTGTCAGAGTCTTTTACCAATTACTCTTCTGAAGTGTTTGGAGTTTTTTTTTCTGTTCAAGTACTCTGACACTCAATTGATTTTCTATTTAAGTTACTGAAATCTTTACATTTCTGCCTTTCACGGCTTGCTGCTGTGCTCTTACAGATGCATTCATTTCGAAGAAAAAAAGGTTAGAAAAAATTAACTCTGAAATGCTAAATTAAAATTAAGCAAGTAAATGGAATGATTCCAGACTGAAACTTATTTCTAACATTTTTCATTGAGATACTGAAACATTTTAAAATACTAGGATTAAAAGTAAGTGAATTTTTCCATTAAGGAAGGAATTCGAGGAGTAAGTTATGCAAATAAATAATCAAAGACACATGAGTCGAATACGAGATTTTTTTCAGGACTGTAACGGACTATAAATACTCAGGAATATAAATAAATATTAAATATAATATAATTTAAAGTAAAGTAGAAAGAACAAACGATAAAGGACCTATGTGGTCAAAAACTTTGCGCATTGTTCTGTAAAATTAAGGAAATTAAAAGATAAATTCTAGTACGCACGCTAAAAAGCTGCTTAAATACTGTGGTTCCGTGAAAACTTTAACATAAGCAAAATTAGTTGCAATGAAATGTGTTAAAAGAGAAAAATACAACATTTGATTATTTACAAGTAAAAATCAACAATAATAGTATGCTATATGCTAAACCAATTAAGTAAATTTAAAACATAGTAAAAGTATTAACTAATTAATCGAGTTAAAAATAAAATTAAGAAGCAGTAAATGGTCGATTAGCCCAATTCGAAGTTCACTATGGCACGTCAGGGGAAATATTTTTTTTTAATGAACTTCGAACTAAGCTCTAACCCCATCCGCGTTTCGCCGAAACAGACAACTGAAACTGTACGCGACACATTTTTCAATTAATTAAGTAAACTATGTCAAAAACTTAAGTCTCAATTCTCTGTTCCAATTTCCCGACGCGTCCGCTTGAATTAACACATTAAGGTGTAATAAAGATAATAAATAAATAATGGAATGGAAATGTCGATGTACAGAAAAAAAATAAAAATAAATAGCGATATGCTATTAGTCAAAATATACAAGATCTTATGGGTGGACCTGCAAGCTTAAAGAGTTAATATTTTGTAAAAGTACCTAAAATTATTTTTAATTCAAAACGGAAATGATAATAAAATAGACTAATTGAATCAAGGGTCTTTCCAAGACCTAGAAAAAAAAAATTTTAGAGAAATAATATTATTAAAAAACAGACCTGTATCAGTGCCGTCTTCTTTGGTTAACGATGAAATTCGAAAAGGGTAGGTAAACCCCGAGCGTGCTTATTGCTTTCCAACTCGCAGGATGACGTAGAAAGGGAGGAAATAACGTCACTGGGAAAGAGCCAATGTAAAGTGACTGACCGTTGGCAAAAACACCTGACTCATTGCTAAGGGGGGTGAAATGTGTTGAAAAAGGTTCAGAATGGCGTCTTGTCTTGGTAGTTTGAAGATAATTGGACTGGGTGAAAGAGAAAATGGCTAATTCAACAAAATATTACCTAAAATGGCCACCAAAGTCAGCAGGAAAAATGAAAAATAGTAATTTGTTAATTAAAGTCGTAATTCTTCAAGCTAGAAGGCGTTCAAGCTGCCAGAAACGAAACAGCCCATAAGTTAATAACAGAATAGAATTGGCCAGCAAATGTTTAAAATCTATTTTAATAGAATTAAAAGTATTGTGCCAAATTTTAAGAGGAAAAATAGACGTTGTGACAGGAATTATTTGTACATTTATACATTAGATCTTCAGAATCAGCCATCCACTTTACACCGTCCCATAGGGCTTTAAGCATAAAATTTCATTATCTAACTCAAAAAATCTAAAAAATAATAAGATTAATGCCAGCTTTTTTAACGTATTTTTAATTACTTTTTGAGGAATTAGGTTATTTTTCAATATTGTGACAAAGTATAGTACTTCTTCTTGAACGTGTTTTGTTGTATTGCAAATTCTTTTAATTCTAAGCAGCTGTGAGTAAATTGTATTGAGGATGATTCTTTTAGAAATATTGGAATTCCAGTTGGTTAATTTAACTGTTGTAAAGTTGAATTCTCTTCGTTTATCATAGACTTTCAAAAAATTGTAATCTATAACATGCAAATCAAGGTAGACTATAACATGTTGCACGGTATTTGTAGTATTAAGTTTTAGGCATGAAGGGTAGATATTAGCATTTTCAATCTTGTTGAAGTTGTTGAAGGCTCTTACATCATCAATATATCGAAAGATGTGTTGGTAAAATTTATAATCTTCCTTTTTGAGTGAACGTATAAAAGTTAATTCTTTTGTAAAAAGGAATAATTCACAGACAGCACCACAGACAGTGCTGTCTGTGAATTCCCAGACATTAAAGGTAAATACAAAATCTTTGCATTGGAAATAATGTATTGTCGTGTTCCTTATTTTTATTTGTAACTTCGGTAATTTATCTCTAATTGAACCGGAATAACATCTATTAAAAATAAGCTAACATACGATAAATATTTAAGGAAATAAAATACGTAATCCTCTTTCTCGAACACACTGTGTAAGGTATTTTCTTTCTCATTCTCGTCTGCCTTCGTGGTGTAATTGAAGAGCATGTCTGGCTAGCATCGTAAGTTCCGGTGCATGAGTTCCGGTGAGCACATTTTTCGCATCTCTTGCTCCGAAAATGCTTAATGATCTCTGCAACTGAGTATTTAACTTTTTATATGAAGACAGAAAACTTCAGTCCCGCTTTTAAACATAAGAAAGCAAAATCCAAGTGCTGTGTTCGTTTTTAAACGCAATAACATGATGATAGTTTTTTTCATTCACTTCGGAGTTACTTAAATTATAGTTCAAATTATAGTACTAGTGCAAGTATACTAACAGAAATTAAGTTCAAAGAATAAATTAATGTGTAATCTTCATACAATTATTTTTCAAACGATAATTTCTGTTACTTCTTTAATGCTGCTAGAAACAAAAAGTAAATAATACGGTTAAACTCTGAATGCCCGAATCTATTGAGACTACAATAGGTTCCTTGTTCGAATAATCAGTAAGCAATTTGTTATTAAATACTGTAATATTAACTTCAATTAAGCAAAAATTATTTTTGACCATCAAATAATTTTTTTTTTTTTTTTTTTTTTTTGGTCTCTAATTTATATTTTCAAACGAATAACAAAAACAAATAACTACAAAATGTAATATCCGTAACAAATACTCCCAATAAATGATTTTTTTCTTTGCATTGTAACTCTTGCTTCATTAAAATAATGACAATAATGACTTTTAACTAATCTTTAATTAAAAACACAATTATTTTGAGTTTAAATACCTCAGTTAGGAATATTATTCTTATACTACCGAATTATTTCGTTCAATCACAAAGCATGGAGTGTTCTAATTTAAATGTAGGTATGATAAAGTAGACGAATTCGGGAATAGTAATTACAGGAAGTCTTAAAAGATCCAGGAATTGAAATCTCCAATTAAAATGAGAAAAATCATTGAAGGACCTGGAAGAATTTTGCGAATTCCTACATCTGTATTCAGTCCCTAAGTCTTCTCCTAATAACTTCGCCGACATCTATTCAACATGTTTTAATGAGTCCTTCTAAGAGATAATTATAGGCTAATTGATGTTCGAATGATCCATGTTCATGCATACATCACTAATAAGCACCAGAATTTATATATTTTATTTGGTTTGTGTTTTACACAGAAAATTCAATGCTGTTACTTTAAATTCATGTTATTTATAAATTTTATCCCAATATAATTTAAATCATAAACATATTTAACGCTTCTTACCTCAAGGAACGTAGACGTACAATATTCACTTGTTGTGTAGAAGAACACCTCTGTCAGTGTGAAAATAACTATCTGTAGAGGGCTTACTTTTCCAAAAATTGCTCCAAGTGCTATGACAGCGCTAGCTGCAGCGAATTCTCCTTTTATGAGACTAATAAGAGCAAAAAAAAAATGTATTTTTTTAATTTAAAAGCTATGGAATGAAAAAAAATTATATATCTCAGAATGTATCTGCTTTTGAATAATCATTAATAATATAATGAATAATTTCAATAATAACTTAGTAAATAGTTATGCTTTAATGTAGCGGTGCCCAACCTTCTGCTCGCTAGCCCGATTAGGTACTATGAACAAAAAATATTTTAAAAACAACCAGTCATTTATATTTCATAATTGTTAAAATATGGTAAGCATTTATAGTTATAAGAGATATCTTGCAAGACGTTATAAAATAAGTGATTGCTGACTGATGAGCTTTGATTAGCGAACATGGAATCTTATTGCTTCATTCCCGATGTTAGATGGCTCAGCAGGGAACGATTTGTGGAACTTCTTTCGCCAATAAAGCAGTTTTAGGAATCCAGAAACGAAAGTTATAAAGAATTGGACGATAATAAATGTTTATCCGATCGGTATTTTCCTACGGATATAACAGCTAAACCGAACAAACTGAACGAAGTACTCCAGGGAAAAGAAAAAAAACCATTTTTCAATTGACTGGGACTCTAACTGCTTTTCAGACAAAGTTAAATTTGTGGGTAAATAAGATGAAAGAAACAAATTTCACCCATTTTCAGAATTTATCGAGCCATATTAATAACCACAAGGCAATTGAAACAGAGAAATACTCGGAAAACCTAAATGCACCCAAAAATTATTTTGAACTCCGCTTCTCTGATTTCCATAAAGTTCAACCAATGTCATTACTCATCTCAAACCCATTTGCCGAAATTAATATTTAAGATGTATCACATAAGATTGGAAATATGTTTAACAAAAATGTTGATGTTTTGGAAATGTGCTCGCGAGAGGCCAAAGCTTGGGCACCACTGCTTTAACGGGTAATAATTACCATACGTAGTCTTGAAGTTAATTATAAAAAGTAATGCTGATAATTTTAATTATAGTTATATATTTCTTAATTCAAAAACAGCAGCTATATAATTAATACATTTTATTGCCTAGTGTTGATTGAAATTTATATTAATCACAGAGAGACAGTTCAGCTTCATGAACTCAGTTACTTATACTTGATTAAATTTAACTAAGAGAGGATATTAGGTATTACCTACGATAACATCGAATACCGAGGGATGATGCATATCATCATTTATTATATATGGCATACTATACGATTACTGAGCACCCTCTAGGGATCGAAGACAGAACCGCCTGCCTCACGGTTATGGGCTTTATGTAGCCAGCAGCTTCAAGATGACTTGTACTTAATCACGTAATTTGACCATCATAGTGGAATTAAGTAAAAGATGCAGTGCAATTCGCTGCGCTTGTCCGTATGAATTCGTCGATCAAATGAGTTTGTAACGTGTTGTGACGAGTTTTACTTCAAAATGTAAACTGTTTAATTCATACATTTTTAAAACAATCACCAATTAATTCTCGCAAACTTGTTTTTTTCTTAATCACTGGCTGTCAGTATAATTGATTTCAGTAAAATGTTTTCATTTTGTGATAATTTACTTACGTTAAATCATACTTGGGTAATGATGTGCATTTATAAAGCCAGTGCATGCAGGTCTCCCTCCGTCTATTAAAATGAATACTAAGTGCATTGTTATTTTGTTCAATTAGTAATTTTAAGCGATAATCCCAGTTTGTTAACTTAAATCCGTGTTTTTGAGAACTAACCCTGGTCAAACCATGAAAAATTATGGAAAGCAGAAATCGAGCCCTCAGTGGATGCTTTGGATGCCAATAAGTGTACAGCAGATCTGTAGGTTTTCGAAATAAATATGTCTCTGATCTTAAAGGAAAAAACAAAATTCCACTATAGCATTACTAATCTTGTTTTACCATACTTGAAAACACAAGCTATTTAAAACGATAGTCCAGATTTAGTTCTATATGAAAACTCGGCATGCTCTACAATATTCTTTAAAAATATTCACACTTCACTATATATCGGAACTTAAAACACAAATGCACAGTCTACAAGCTGCTTTAAGAATTTTCCCATAATTTTATACTAATCTGATTTTGAATTTCTGTGCCAAAACTTTGAAATGTTCTTCACTTGTATCTTAAGGCGTGCATACATAGTTAACGATCCAGGTCTGTAGTACTCCTTTAATACCTTTACAGATGTGTCTTTATAGAACTTTCCCAGTAATTTTACTTTTTGTTACTTACAACTGAACTGCTTTGATAGCACTTTAGTAGTAAGCGGAGGCGGAAGTGACCTCACAGAAAAGGGCGCAGCCATCTTTGATCACGTGACATCATCATCTTAAAACCACGTGATCCAAAATGAAGACGGCCACGCCCCCTTTCTGTGACGTCACTTCCGCTTACTGAAGACCTTCGTTTACTACTCAGGTCCACAAACTGATGGTTGCGGAATCAAAACGTGCCTGATCTTAGTCGTTTGCAAACTGTAGAATAACAGTCTAAAGCAGTACAATCTATATTTAACCTTAATTCCTGACTTCCTCAACTTACTAAGTCCTCAAATGACGAGTCCTAAGACTAATTGTCCGGGAAGTTGAGGAACTTCCTGACTCGACTCAACTGTATTGCTCAATGTCCTTCCTGACTAAGTCCTCAACCGAAGAGAAATCGTAGCCGAGAAAGGGAATTTAAAATGCTTTTCAGAATGTAATAGATGAAATAAATTCAAAGAAGAAGAGAGGGGAAAGTTACAAAAATCTTTATTTAGAATATTATAATGAATTTTCAAAGAAGATAATGAATTAATCTATTTCTATTCTTCAGTTGATTTTTTATCCAACTAATCCGTTGCATCTTTGCCCTCATGTAGGGAATTACGTGCAAAGAGTTGCTTCAGTCTTTTTTTTTTCTGATTTTCTAGTTACACTAACTTCATTTGTAATTGCATTAGAATTACTTGCTTTATTTTTCTTGTTAAGTCAAAAATACTTAAGTTATCAGAACTCCTGTATATTATTTCGTGAAGTTCTAATTTTGAATTTTTACTCATATTTCATACATTCTCAGCAAAGAACTTTCGTTCAGCCAGGATCATTATTATGTTGATTCAAATTCTGTTTCTCAGGGGCGTAGCTAGAGGGGGGCAAGGGGGGCATCTGTCCCCGGGCGCAGAATCCAAGGGGCACCAAACTGATGTTACGACATTTTAGAATTAAATGTTTTCCATCCTTGGCAAGCAGTAGGGGGCGCGAAATCTTCAGTTGTCCTTGGGCGCTGAAAACCCTAGCTACGACTCTGCTGTTTCTGCTCGTCTGATTAACACTACTTAGAATTACATAAAAATTTCTAAATGGCGTTATCGTTGCTGCATTCGTCGAACTCTTCGTAGCTAGAAATTAAGTATAATTTCCGGTCATTAATCCTTCCACAAGACATCCGGACAGCAATACACCCAGAGCAAATTACGACACTTATTTCTTCCCTCCATTTTTTTTTTTTTTTTTTTTTTTTTTTTATTGAGTCATTCGCAATGACTTCCTTTTCAACACATGCGGGGATAGGTCTATGTCATATTAGTTATAATTGTACGTTTTATTTGCCTCGACACCACTATATTATTCTGATTCATTACCGCCAACCATCACAGTCAATGAAAGAACTGAGTGCAATGTTTTGCAAATAAACAAAGTTATAAATAAAGTTAATCTCATGGGCAAAGGATATTTGACAGAATGCCTTATCTGAAGGGAAAAAATATATTTGTCAGGATATAAATAACGCTAAATATTCAAACATTTTCGTAAGTTGTGTCACTGCAGTAAAATACGTTTAACCTAGCGTAGCGTAGCTGAAATCCGACTGAAAGAAGCAAGTGAAGAAAAATAACGTTGCGTCCGCGAATGAACAGTCATCTCTAGCATTTTAAAATCAAATTTCCTCGTTCGTTTACTTTTTTAACAGGAAATACATGTTTTACAATGAAAACAAGAGATCACAGGATATTTATTATTTGAAAAATAATGAGCGATTTTGCATGTAAATATGCTGATCTCACATTTATTTTCATTCCATTTATCCTGATGCGTACCACGTAGCCTGATCTTCGTACAACTAATATCTTGACGTAATATCCTGAAAATATCGCTGTTCAAGCAATAACTTCATTGATGAATTGTACCTTCTATCATTCAAGTTATAAAAAAAGAATTGCCTGGAAGTTGCTGACTACAAAAAATGGAAATATCAAAGATTCGAACAAACTATTCAACATTTTGTGAACATCCCAAGTGAGCGTTTGGAGGTCAATCACTAAAACTGACGGTACTTAAAAAAATAATTTCTGAAACTGTAAATGTGTATTCAGATAAAATCAAAATCTGTGTTCAAAGGGCGTTAGATCCAAAGGGCTATTAGTCTCAAAACGGCATTTGGGACGTTTCACTTTTCAAACTGTTTTCGCATTGTGAAAAAAAAAAAAAAAAAAAAAGGTACCTAGAGAATTTTGAATAAAGTAGTTCTCCACTCGAATATGGGCATCTGGAAAAAAAATTAAATTTGTTTTATTATCTATTTATTCACATCTTTAATTGCCGAGAGTAGTTATCATAAGTTATCCAAAATAATGTGTTACCCGAAATGACTTCATTCCTATTAGTTCCGGTAAACGGGATTCCGTTGTAATTATTTTTTGTTTGGCATTTAAAGCAAAATATTAATATCAGAAAATATTTTTATTGCACATGTTTCGAGCTATATAATGCTTGTATGCTGCTACAGTGATGACTGGAGAACAATACTTTCGCAGTAGCGATCATTCCCGTAAAAAATCTCATGAGGACACCAGACTTCCTTGTACGGCATATTAAATTTTACACATTGTTTTCCTCAAATCATTCAATCAATTCAATTCTGACTCCGCGTCATGGCAAAAATACATAAAAACTCAAAAAATCATTAAAAATAGTCAAATTCAGAAAAACCTCCAAAAATGTTTTGCCGTAAATTTCAGTTTCTACGCCAAAACAAGCAATGCATCCAACGGGCGTAAAGCTAATATTCAGTGCGCAAAAATTTAAAGTACACTTTTAGTCCAACTAGGCAAAAAGATATTGAAGTTCGTGCACCAACTGACTTAATTCACTATACTACTAAGAATTTCAAATGTAAACAAATAGCTGCCACAATAGGCTTAGCACAACTTACGCTTTTAAATTGTTGATAATTCTACAACTATTGCATGCAGATTAACTAAATTCACAAAATCTTTAACTGGAACATAAGAACAACATAATTCAACCACTTCTAAAGCAAAAAATGGACAATTTACTAACAGCTCACCGAGCCGAGTGAAAGGCTGAGTATACATGTATGTATTGCAATAAAAAAAGGGAACTGTTAGATGTTATAACAGTCCCATATAGAAAATTGGAATGTTCAACAGCTAACCGTTTTTGCTTTATAATAGATACATACATACGTACGTACGTGTATACAGACGTAAAAAAAAACCCTTTTAAATCCATTTTACAAACCGTTTTGGAGAAAAGAGTCCTTTAGTATGTCAGTGCGTACTATTGTCAACAAAAACATCGTCTAAATGGATTAGAGAACGGTCGAAATGGATGTTTTCGTTGAAATATGATACCTGAAATTTTTTGCGAGTACAATTCTGCGTACAAGGAAGTAAAAAGGAGCAAAAAACATGTGAAATATGCATCATATAAACTGGTTAAAACCTATTTTACTATTTTACTCTCTAAAGTGGCATCAGTTCTCTTTTTCCATTTAGAAATGTTTTAAAAGACATGGCACTCCTCTGATCTGTTGTATATCAGCAACAGATCAGATCGACAGATGTTTGAGTTTGGCTGAAATTAAAATATCTGATCATCCATAAGGAAAATTAAAGAAATACTACGGTATGTATATAAAATTACCTGAGACGATTTAACAAGGCATTTTAACATGTTAATGTTTGTAGCATAGTCTTTTCAAGTTCTTTGTCACATTATATTACATTTACCTTAAGTTAAGCTATGTCATTTTACGTTGCGCCTTCAAGGCATTTATCATCAAAGCGAGGCAAGTGCAAACGAGACGAGGCTTATACAAAGGCAAGTGCTGCCTTTGCATTCAAATTTTCAGGTTATCTTCTGCGTGCTTTAACAAAGAGCCAGTTTCTGACATTCGACATATATATTAGTCTTTCAGATCTTGAGAGGCTGAGTGTTTAAAGTGCTATAAATACACTTCTTACAAATTAAAATTTTTATTTTACTTTTTAAATATTATAGCTAATTGATATAATTTATAATGTACTTATATGATATAATTTTATAATATGACAAATTAATTATCTTTATTAATTATCATAGTTACTATAGTAGTTAATAAGAGCATTATTAGAGTTAATAAAAATGTGTCTAATGCTATATATTACATACCTCAGGACAGAATAGTTCCTCCCCCCCCTTTAAAGTACTCTGCAATTTAATAATTAAAATTAGATAAACTATTACAAAATCAAACTAACCTTGGTGTTCATCCAGGAAAATTTAATGCCTCAGAAAATTCAGTCTTGTTTTAGTTTGGAAACAGATGTGTTAATGATTCAAATCTTAAACCATAATTATTACTCATTGCTTCTTATACATACTCCCAATTAATTTTATTTTAATAATAATTACACAGCCTTAGATTTCTAACCTCAGAACATTTAGATTTCAGAATATGAAGCTTAGTAATATAACACTGATAACTGATCTAAGAAATCTTTTTAAAAGTCATAGCAATAGTAATGGTTATAAATAATTGTTACTTATAGTGCTAGAACAGGAACCTAGGAAAACTTCTTTGAACAACTCCATCAAAAATGATAATACTTACTATCACAAAATTGGTATTTTATTTTCAAAGATATATTCGATATTATTGATATCATTCATAATAATAATAATGATACAAATAACAATATAAAAACTAACCTGTAAATATCTATTTTTATTTTTCCATCATTCATATTCCATATGTTTTTGGTTATAATCGACCATTCCATAGAAATAGCTGCTATGAGTAAGTTCATACCCATTCCCATGTAGCCATATTTTCTCAAAAATGCATACAGCAGTCCAACGCCGATGAAGATCATTGCATTGATATCTTGGAACACTGAAATTAAAATTTCATCCAGTAATCATCATAATGTTGTGGTAATATCTATGATAATTAAGGTATTACAATATGTTAGTCCCTTGCTTTGCATTAATTTTATTTTAATTTTAATTATAAATTTAGGCCTACAAGAGGCCGAGCGGTAAAAGCCGCTGAATACTGGTAGTTCGGTCCGGAGTTCGAGTTTCGGTGAACGGGCTGGTTGCATGGGCGTTTTCGTATTTTCCCCTATGTATATCGTTGATACGAGCCAGTTTCCCTTAAAAAGACCTCCACGGGGCATTCTTTCCTTTCTGTGCACTGCCTCAGGGCGCAGCAAGTAATCAGTAAAAAAATATATATAAAGTTAGCTCTAACTTTACTTAATTCTTTCATTTCTGATCAGCTTTCGGAGTCAATATGCATTTCATCTGGAAGCAAAAGACGTTAAAAATGTGCAATACACTCACCGAGACCTCGAACTCGGGACCTTCCGTTGCTAGCCGGACGTGCTTCCCAATTACATTACGAAAACACTCAGTAATGAGAGAGAAAACCATGGGGTTATCATATCTAACAACTTGTGAGGCTAAAAGAAACTTTTTCGAGAAACGAGCTTCTCCTTCTACTACCGTTGGAGAGTTCCTAGCCGAAATATGTCTCGCCGGAATATGAAGATGTCTTCCTTAAATATGCCTCTTGTATATGTTATGTTGAAGTGAAAGGGCCACATAATATTTACCCTAGGTAAGTAGGTATTAGCCCCACACACTAACTAGACAACCAACAACATTCCGGCAACGTTCCTCGAGCCGTGATGAAATTGTGACTCCAGCCAACACTGCAAGTTCTGCCACCGCTGCCTCAAAGAACTGGTTTTTCGCGTAAGTCAGCCAAACAAATAATCCAAAGGCCAAATTTCTGGGACATGTTTCTTTCGAAGCGCTGCTGAGTGTAGGTTGTAAATGTGATACCGATTGTATATTCTCTCCCACTTTAAAGAGTGACTTTGAAGGAGGGGACAGGGTCGTTAAATCCCGGTGGTGACAATTAATTGCCAACTATATTTTTAGTTCCGGCGGTACTATACAATCATTTAGAATTTTTCGAAGAAACCGAAGAAATTCATTATGCCTTCTCCCGTATTCAAATTCACAATCTAATCCAAACAATGTTCGGATAACTCCTGATGTTATTCGGACGTGCTTTCTAATTACATCACGAAGGCACGCAGTAAGGAGGGATAATAATCATACAAGTTAGCTGACAAATGAGTATTATTTTGCAGTTACTGCTTCAAATATTAACTATTTTCAATCAAAACTCTAATTTAGTTTAAAAGTTAATCAGCGAATGAAATAAAAAGTTATAAAAGATAAACATCAGACTAGATATAATTCAATAATACAATAAACAAATCTAATCACAGATTACGAAGCGGGAGAACCGAAGGAAATTGAAACCATAATTCTGTAAATTCTGTAATAATACCTTGGTCCAGTAACAGCTCTTGTTTCCGTCCCCCTCCCTTTCATTTTATTATCCGAATTGCTGGAAAACAATAATTTTGCTACCGTATCTGAACATGTCTACAACAGCCTGTTTACAAGAGGCTCTTCGCACATTTTTTATACGATTTTGCTTTGCTGTAAAAAAACAATGTTCTGTGTGGAATTTTTGTTTAACTGCAACTATATGTTTGAAAGTATAAATTATCGTGCGCTAATTGCCAGTTTTGTTTTCATGCAAAATTTCGCTTTTAAAGAAGCAATGGACGAAAGGCTATGTTTGTGTTCTTTCAGAAGATAATTATTCGTATCTAGTTATCATAAAACGTTGTGAAAACCATTTTTTTCGAACGTCAAAATTTAGCTTCAAATGGAAAAATTGTTCCAAATACGCCGTTACCTAAGGAAAAAACGGAACGTTTCGAATGTTGGAAAAGTAAGATCTTTAATGTTAAAAAGAAAATCCGCCAATTCAAAGGACAGTTGAAATAATCATTTAAATGCTCAGTGTCAACTGAAAACAAAGTGATTAATGCTGATTTGAATCTTAAAAATGCGAAAAAAACATAATGTGTATCGTCTTTCTCTACGATATATAGCCGAATGCAGAACGCGCTGCAGAATATCAGGACAAAAATGGAAAACTGTTATCACAACAGATGAATCTTGAGTATACTTAAATGACCGCAATATCCATTTTTTATCATCAAAGATGAGTAAAAAGTATTAAAATGTGGTTCAAGGAATCTAAAGAAACTTTTTCTAAGACTTTGGAAAGCATTTCGAGAGCAATGGGATAAAATACCTCTTCTGATACTACAAAAGGCTTTATTGTCTTGGAATTTAGTGTGTATAAAGATATTGAAGGAAAAGGGTTATCAAATACATTTAAAAGATAAAAAAAAAAAAAAAAAGAAAAAAAAGAAAGAAAATCTGAAATGTTTCAGATTTTAAATTACATCTAAAGGGGCCTTTTTTTAACGTTTTGAGTTTTACCTTTATTTATTAAATATCATGTTCTTTGCACTTAAACCATAAAATTTAGTTCAATAGCAATGTCGCAAAATAATTTTAAAATGAGCATATCTTTAGAATTTCCGATCCACAGTTCGACGCGCTGGAGATAAGAAGGTTCTTTCCCCCGTAGAGTGTTGCCATTGCTCGCTTTGAAATTGTTGAGTTTTACTCAAAAATTCGTTCAAGTTTTACAAAATATGAAAATGAAATCGATAATAAAACAAGTTCCAAATTTCAAATTTGGGATTTCAGATGCCCATATTCGCAGTAGGATTATACGTCATTCAAAATTATTATGGTTCTAGATACCGTTGTTTTATGACAATGCGAGAAATAAACATACATTTACGCAGATTTTTCAGTATTTAATTTTTTCAAATATAATGCAGGGCTCTAACATTTTGTGGCAACAGTTTGAAAAGTGAACCGACATTTATAGGAGTCCGACGCAAAATGCCAAAACGAACGTAATAGTCCTTCGGGACTCAAATCCCTTTGGACTAAAACTTTAGGTAAAATATTTCTGTAATTACAATGAAAAGCGTCTAAAAATGCTCGACCAGCCTCTAGTAATGATAAAATATGAATCTGATTTGTAAAACTGACTTTCACAGGTAAGGAAAATGCTCTTATGTTTTGCAGTATATCCATTAATTGAAACAACATTGTCTGTTTTACAGATTACCGAACAGGGATGCCGAAGCAAACTTACTGATTCAACCTTATAAAATACTCTCAAGGATTAAACAACAAAAATGGAAGTGGGCTTCACATAGCAAGAAAGAAATTTCTACAAACCTATTGTTGACTTGCTGTAATAGGCAAGTGCCTGCCTGCCATTGGAAAAAAATAAACCTATCATTGTCATTAAATAACAAGTAGAATATTTTTTAATAAAATTATGTAATTTTAAATTATAAATAAAAGTAGGATTATTAACGACTAAGATTATAATCATAGACGTCATTAAGTATTTAATGCTGAATTCTACTGTATAGTTATTATAGTTATGAAAAAAATATAAATCTTGTCTTCTACTAATAACCTATGTAATATAGATATGATATGTATGACCATAGTATATAATTGTAATATATTTATGATGGTAACCTTTGATCAAATTAAACTGAACATTATCGTCCTAAATCAAGTGAGACGTACGTGGACGAAGTACTGGACACACCTAAAAATTTCCTTCTGTACGCACCGAAAAATGGAATGAAAAAGGATTTATAGGTTACTCTGAACCTTCTTTATTTATAGAAGATGGCCCTCAAGACAAACCAGTCCATATATTTTAGCCATGTTTAGGTTTTTAAGACCCTCATTTTTCAAAGAAATCTTCTAGATGTTTTTTAGGGTATAAAAGAAATTGTTTGAAAAGAAATTTCTATGTTTTTTTTGACTGTATACTAATCTCCTTATTCTATATTAGTTTTAAATTTTTACCTTGAAATTTTGCCTAAAATCAAACGGCGAACAATAGGTGTACCCAGACCGGGTTCACCGATAACCTAGAACAACTGAGAATCTGTATTCTTTGTTTCTCCGCATCTCATTGGTGAGTTCATTGACAACAATGCTCGTTTCAGCATTCTTTTCGAAGCTCTATTCAATCAGTGTGCCACTTTGGGCACACCCACAGAATTAAAACGATAAGTGCTATCTTCACAAAATTTTACTTGTGTACTCCTCTAGGTCTAATTAGACTGCCTACCTTTATTTTTATGATCAAAACTCTGACTTTAAAAGTTAGCATGCTGGAAAGGATTAAAGGAATTGTGGCCTTTACAGATTAAGAATTTCATGTTAGAAATTAGTGCAATAATATAGCAATTGTTTTCAAAGAGCTACTAATTATACTTTGAGTTAAAAGCATGTTTAATATTTCAATATTATTTTTAAAGTTATTAGCATGTTTACAAACTTTTGGAAAGTAATCTCCGAGTGTATTCGGTAAAAGAATGGTATGAGCAATGTTAAGTTTAAAAATAAACATTGCTTGGAAAATGCTTGGATTTCACTTCAAGTTAGTGTGATGAAAATTAGCGTTCCTGGTACATTTCAGTCTTCTGATTGTAAATGAAGAGAGCTCTTAAACTGTCGGATTCCATTTCCCTCAAATCTCTTGGCCAAAATTTTAATAGAACTTAAGAAGTTAGACTTCGTGTGCTTAGCAAAATAATCCAAACTAATTAAGATGCTACTTCATAGATCCAAAGCAATGATAATGAGCATTCCAACGAACCAAAAAGTCTCTATCTGATTATATCAAATTGTACAATTATTCATTGTAAATATTAGTTGACTAAGAGACAGCTTAAATGTCCTTAATCTATTACTTGTCCGAGAAGGAAAAAAAACTTTAAATTTGTTAACTCCATTCAAGGAGTCAAAAAGGCAACTTTAATTAAAATGGTTTGAAACTTAAATATTACATCATAAAGTATATAAATTTGGTATAAAAAAACTTCATATTTCAAGTCCAGGTATAATTCGTAACATATTTCAAAGATCACAAAATAATCGTGGATTAAAAAGTAATATTTTAATTAAAGTACAGGGTGTTTATAAAGTCCCGGACCCATTTTGATGTTTAATAACTCATAAAATAATAAACATAGATTAAAATTAATAACATAAATGGTTAAATGGTTAGATAGACTCAAAATGTTTCATGACCCTTGTCAATGAACTTCCACGTGTGTCCCCTTCGTCGCACGGATAATATCAAGTCGATATTCAATTTCACGCCAGGTACCGGCAAGCATGTGTTGTGGTGTATGCAATCTCCTTTATATCCGGTCAAATAAAACATCACATACAAAAGTACTAGAACAAACACATCAAAAGTAAACATAAACATTTCAATAGTTGCCAAAAACAAAAGAGAGAAAAATACAATTAATAAGCAGACGATATTTAGAAAAGTACAGATATTTAGACTGGAAAATGAAATTATCCGAAATTAACCACACGCGCAGACGATATTTACAAAAGTAAAGATATTCAAACCTGAAAAGGAAAATATATAAGTTATTCTATCAATAAATGACATAAATTCGTTTATATCTTCATTATTTTATGAGTTATTAAACATCAAAATGGGTCTGGGACTTTATAAACACCCTGTATTATCATTTAACACTCAAATCAAACGCAATTTCTAAATACTTTCAGCTAACGCCAATAATATCAAATTAACTCTATAGTACAGATTATCTGCTAAGTTTACTGAATGATTCCTCAGCCAAAATAATACTGCGAGGTTTATTGAGCAAGATTTCAGTCTAAACACAATACTTCGTAAGAATGCAAGAATTCAAACAAAGCATAACATTTAGCTAGAATCTGATCAAAACTGTGGAATTCGCAATGTCATGGACTATAATCAAGTTAAGAACTTAAATAACTTACTTGGATAATACCTCGGAAGGCTGTTTTCTTTTGGATCTTGACCCCCTTTTTGGGGGTCTTTGTTATGGATGGGGTTACCAGCATCCAGATCGTCACCATATTCAACGATGAAAGCATAGATAAGTATGAAAATAACTTGGATTAGTGTGACAGCAATTCCAAATTTTCCTCTCATCTTCTTCGAAAATCCGTAATGACAGAATAGGAAGGAGTTAAGTCATCAAGATCCTGCTACTTGAGAAAGAAAAAAGAAAATGAACAAATGTGGCATTTATATATGGATCCAAAAGATAATGGGGTAATTACTCTTCATAAATACTCATCAGAGTCAGTTGCAGCTTTGGGTATTCTTTCATTTGTTTATTTTTTTGTAATTTACAATCTTTTCTAAGATCTTCTTAATCATGCTGTATGACAAGGCAAAAGTTTACCACAGTTACAAAAATGAACAATGGATACGTTTTCAAGTAATAGAATGTTTGTTTTGATTGTAAAGAATAACGTAATTATCTTCTAATTAATAAAGGATATTATTACTCCTCCTTTTTTATATAGTCTCTTGAAATTAGGAAAAAGCATAATAAATATCGCAGTTTTCATGTTATTTAATTTTTTCTGAAACAACTGACATGTTTATTTTAAAAGTAGTATATTCTTACACATTGATATTAATAAACTTACGTGCAGCATGTGAAGAACGTTTTGATTATGAAAATTGTGAAATATTATACATTAGAGTAGGTACAAAAGTCAGGCATGAAGAATATACAAAATGTGAATTGTTTAATTTTTTTTCGGGCCCTGCATAGAATTTTTATTCAAAAATGAAAAAGACTATGATGACGACAATGTATTGTTTAGCTGATATATATAAAAATCCTTTTTTTTTTTCACTCTTCGTTCTTAACGAGCATGGTTTTATAATCATTAAGAAACTAATTCTGCTGCTTCAAATGAATGAAATTTAAAGGGTAAAAATGCACCAATTGGCCAATTGACCTTCTAAAAAGTCATTTATTAATAAAGTCTCCAAACGATACCAATCACCGCCGTAAAACTAATCTTAAAAACGTATTGATTTTCAATAACCATAAAGTCTACTAATTTATTAACTGTTTAATTTATCGGGAAATATATTAAAATTACTTTGCATCTTAACTTTTTTCCAAATTACAAAAATGTGTCTTCTCCAAATAATTAGAGATTCAGAAAAGAATGAACGAATTAAAAAAAAAAGTTGTATAAACTTTCTAATAATTACAGGTGGAAGAGTTTTTAATAACAGAAGCAGTTGATTAATTAGATTGTAGAGTCTTTTAGTATGTTTTGGAATCATATACTGTAGACCCTAGCTGAAAAGACTAGAGAATTCTCGCTAAGTCCTGGAAGAAACAGTTCACTGCAGAAGAAGGTTTAAATAACCGCTTTATTTGAACTTAACAGAAAATGCACTCGCTCGTTGCTCATAATGCGTCACCTATTGTGGCCAAATAGCTCAACAATAAGATGTAGGCAATCAAAGTAAAGTAATCTTGAGTACATGACTGGCTCCATCGTTATCCTAAACTGCTAAATCGGCTGCACACAGCAAAGGCGAACCTAGAATATCAATACCATCTAAAGAGAGTGGCTAAGCATCAACTATTCACACACAAAGCTATTTCAAACACGCGGCATAAATTCGGAACTAACTCTGAATCTTTGGTTGCATATTCTGGTTTACAGCGGGAATTAATTCCTCTCTGGCCAGAGCTTAATCACGGAATTCCACGAGGGACCTGACACATAAGGGCTCATCAAATTCCACCATAAAGGAAACATACAAAGTAAGATAAAATGCAATAAAAATAAAAGTAAGAAAACATTGAGATGCGATGACAAAAGACTAGCACTGTCCAATCATCAGTGTTTAAACGCGTAAATCACTATATTAGATAGATAAATTATATATCAAAATGACGGGGAAAATTAATCCAATTCAGTGGCATTGGATACAATAAGTTTTGTGCGACTAAGAGTCCATCCGTTGTAGAGTTAATCGAAATTGGGTGCATGTAGGCAGATGCAGTCAGCTGATTGGCTTTTATCAATTCAGAACTATTGGGTCAGTCCATAAATTCATGCGCATTTTTTGGTAAATTTTTAATATAAAAAACACAATTTAACATTTTAATCAATTATATATTTTCCTCCATTATCTACAATGTCTCGCCATCTTACAGGCAGCTTTTTTATGCCATTGCTGTAGAAATTTTCTGGTTTTGATGCGAAAAAAACTTGAAAGTTCATTGTGTACATCCAGTTTAGAATTTAATTTTTTTCCCAGTAAAAAAAATTTGTAAGGCACGAAATAAGTGAAAATCACTTGGGGCAACATCTGAGGAGTAAGCAGGATGTGGCAAAAGCTCCTAATTAAATTCACTAATTTTTTGCAGCATTGTTCGAGCGGTTTTGTTTTGTTTTGTTTTATGCAGCCCTTTCGCCTGGTTTGTTGAACCTTATGAAGAAAAGCAGGCGCAACCCTTCCAACAACAAACGACACGAGCCGGCGAGCCGGCCGTGTCCAAATAAAAACAAAATCAATTTAGCAGCTTAACAAACAAACAACAAAAAAAAAAAAAAAAAAAAAAAAAAAAAAAATAGATTGAACGCTTTCAGTATGTTAGCTCGATCAATCAGAGATACCGATCGCATGCTTATGAGAATTGATGACTTTCATAATGTCTTGTGCAAATTTTACTCCTTTTTTATAATTTTGAATCATTTCTCTTACCCCTCCCCCGATTCCAGTGTAAGGCAACTTACACCCCCCCCCCGGTAAAGTGTCAATATGCAGTCACCAGTAGTATCACATTTAAGACATAAATTTACTCCCTGGAGGTGGAATCTCTGTAAGTACATAGGAAAGCGTCCATGCCCTTGTTACTAATTGAATTATAGTCTTTATCGCAAAACATAGGCATATTCTTCTTAATTATTATATTTGACAAGGCCTTTGATCTTCTAGGAGACACATTCATTTGATCAGACCAGATTTTATACATGTGTTCTTTCATTTTGCTAATTGTAACTTTTTTAGAATGTTGTAGATCACCATCAGAGATCCCATCCCCCATGGCAGCTTCCTTTGTTCGAGCCGTATGCGGTCTAGCGTTATCATGATGAAACAACACTTTCTTGATATTTACCAATCGTGAGCGTTTTTTTTTTTTTTATATATATATATATATATCAATTTTGAGTTTAGACGGCAAAGTTGTTCACTATAAACTTCTGAATTAATCGTTTGATTTGGTTCTAACAGTTCAAAACGTCCTGAACGGGGTTCACCATCAATGTTGCTTTTTCCAATTTAAAATTTTTTAAACCGTTTATGCAGTCCTTACACTAGTAGTGTGTTCACCATGTACACTATTAATTTTTATCGCTGCAAACTTGGCAGATTCACCACACGAAAATAAAAAATGTAGCACAGCACGTTTGTACTGATTATCTATATTCATCTTCTATGGGTTCGCTATTTATATTGGGTTCGATATTTATGTGTTGTGATTAAAATGTGTTCGATATTTATGAAAGTTGGTGATAGTAAAAATCCTTTCCTTATATCAATATAATGAATATTGAATCTTGTAGGAAGAATAAAGCTAATTTTTCAGAATAAACAAAATACTTTTATTTAAATTTTAAAACAGAACCAAAAAAAAAATAAAATACTGCAGCTCTAAACTATCAAAATTTTAAACTCTTAACTACTGCAGTTAAAACTCTTACAACTATTAAAAAAAAACTAAAAAATCTTAAACTCTCTAAAACAAATATATAAAAATCTTTCGAATCCTCTTCTTGTTGCCACACCGTAAAATGCAAGTTCTTGTCCTATTATTTATATTTCACCGTTCTCTTTAAGTTACGATCTTTACAGGTCATGATCTTTACAAGTTACGATCTTTACAAGTTACGATCTTTACAAGTCATGATCTTTACAAATCACGATCTTTACGAGTCATGATCTTTACAAGTCCGATCTTTACAAACCCCCCAAGAAGCACATTCGTCACCGTAGAGACAATGTTTGCTCAGAGTTCATTGAGAGAGAAAGAGTTAATAGCTAACCTTGAAAAAGCATCAGCATTCCCATGTGAACTTCCTTTGCGGTATGTCACAGTCATGTTATACCGTTGTAACGCTAAGGCCCAACGAGACAGTTTAGCACCATGAGGGGCGCTTTGGGTCAAGTAGGTGAGGGGATTGTGATCAGACACAATCTGCACTTTGGCACCGAAAATCCATGTGTCAAATTTTTTCAAGGCTTCGATGACACAAAATGCTTCGCGTTCGATGGTTGACCATCGTTGTTGACAGGGCGTTAGTTTCTTGCTGAAAAATGCTATGGGCATTTCTTTTGTAAATGGCTTATCTTCATTATCATTCTCACCTATGGTAGGCAATCCTAGTAGCTGTTGGTTCCTTATCATCTTTTCCTCTCTTCTATCTTTCCAATGGCTTTGTCAAGTAGCTCAATACCATTCATCAATTGTTTCAGCTTTATCAATTTCTTTCAAATATGGGATTTCTGTGCTTGGTGAAAGTCCTATAAACTAAAAAAATCTCAGCAATTTTTTTTCTTCTGCTTTTTCTAATAATTCTTCATCAACATGATGTAGATCGTCTACCTCGGACTCGGGCTCTTCTATTAATTCAGCAATTCCTTCCGTTTCTTTCTCGTCTTCCAGTTCTTCGCTTTCATCCGAATAACTTTCTGTTCAATCTTCCATGTTTTCCCCCTTGAACTTGAAAGGTTTCTGTGGTTTTCAGTATCATTGTGGATGACATTTTCCTTTTCAGTTTCAACTTTTGTTGTATAATCCACACTTTCTTTTTCATCTCCCAGTTCAACAGTATCTATGCTGTCCTTATTGTACTTTTGTTTCTGTTATCATCCAGAATTTCTTTTTCAGTAAATTGTAATAGTTCACTGTTATCTGCAAGTTTATTTTCAGTTTCAAGATCTGCAGCTTCTGTGTGATTTACATTTTCATTTTCAGTTACTAAGTAAGCTTTCATACTTTCCTTATGGATTATTAAGTCATTCTTTTTATCATCTACTTTTTTCCTTCTCGTTTCCAATTTCAGCAATATATTCTTTCTCTTCTATGTTCTCATAATCAAGATTTACTTGAGTTTTATTGTCATTTGCAATTATTTCTTTTTCAGCTGAAGTTTCAGCATCATCTG